AGCTAATTTTTGTATCTTTTTTTTTTTTTTTTTGTAGTAGAGATAGGATTTCACCATGGTGGCCAGGCTGGTCTTGAATTCTTGACCTCAGCTGATTCACCTGCTTCAGCCTCCCAAAGTGCTGGGATTACAGGCGTGAACCACTGCACGTGGTATAGTGAAAGCTTTCTTTGCAGTTGACTTTGTAGACTAGTATTTGTTATTCATTATGGAGTTAATCATTGTGTGTGTGTGTGTGTGTGTATATATATATATATATATTTTTTTTTTTTTTTTTTTTAGACAGATCTTTGTCTTGATCTTGGCTCACTGCACCCTCTACCTCCCAGGTTCCCACGATTCTGCTGCTGCAGGCTCCCGAGTAGCTGGGATTACAGGTCACCTGGCTAATTTTTTGTATTTTTAGTAGAGACGGGGTTTCACTATATTGGCCAGACTAGTCTCGAGCTCCTGACCTTATGATCCACCCACCTCAGCCTCCCAAAGTGCTGGGATTACAGGCATGAGCCACTGTGGCTGGCACAATCGTTTCCCATGAATTTCTCTGGGAAAATAACACTATTTAAATGTTTGAAACTTTCTGAAAATTTATTGATCAGTGTTAACATTTAATATTAAGTTCTCAACATCTATTTATGTAAGATTTGTGTGTTACCCTCTAAGACAGTAGTAATAAATAGCATTGGCCGGGCACAGTGGCTGACACCTGTAATCCCAGCCCTTTGGGTGGCCAAGGTGGGCAGATTATGAGGTCAGGAATTCAAGACCACCCTGGCCAACGTAGTGAAATCCCGTCTCTACGAAAAATACAAAAATTAGCTGGGCATAGTGGTGGACACCTGTAATCCCAGCTACTCGGGAGGCTGTGGCAGGAGAACTGCTTGAATCTGCGAGGCGGAGGTTGCAATGAGCTGAGATCGCACCACTGCACTCCAGCCTGGGTGACAGAGCAAGTCTCCCATCTCAAAAAAAAGTAATAATATTTATGCTGGTTCCTTTACTTATAATCCCCACCCCCACCCCCTAATTGATCTTTTCAACATCAACATTTAGCTCAAAAATTTTTCTTCCTTCCGTGGACAACAAACTGGTTGATCCTGCCTCTCTGTTGGCATCTAATAATCTCTGTCACCCCTGCCAGATAGGTATTCCTATAAGGAAAGGACTATATCAATTTTCTTATCAGAGTCTTAAAAAGCACTTGACACATGGTATGCATGAGGTGATGATTATTGGGTGAATGTAGGTTGGAATTCATGATCAAGTGCCAGGTGCCATCCTTGAGGATAGATGGGATTATTTGTATTTTAATATTTTCTAGGGGTGGGTGAAAGGTAGTGGTTAATCTTGAAAGATCTATGTTACCTGACCCTAATTTCCCTTAAATTCTACCTCAGTTCCATTCCTAGTGGATTTGAAGAGGGCAGTCTCCTCCAGCCTCATTGAAACTCTTTGTGGATTTGATGACCTTATGGATATTGCCAAAGTTTAAGATAGTGGATTTTAGTCCCATCCTTGCAGCTTGCACACACACCTAGTTGCTCCCCGGATTTCTGGAGATTCTCATTCACTAAGCCATGGATACTTTTTTTGTTTTAATGCTCCATGGATTTTTTTCATAAGCATCTAGAGTTGACACCCACTGGCTTGACCTAGTAACTATTTTATGTGATTTTTTTTTTGTCTTAAAATGTTCGAAGATGCCTCACCCTTGACAACTACCATATATTCAACAGAAATCTCTCTTCTGTCTCTTCTTAGTTCTCATTGCTGCCACTCTGGTCCAAGCTTTTATTATCTGCCATGTGAAATACATTATCTTATAGATGGCTTTATTCTTGTCTGTTTTCTCCGTTCTTGTCAGTCTTTTACATTGCCGATTGATATAGTCTTAGTACAGGTGCACGCACATTTATTATCTCAAAAAGCCCTTCACAGTTCTCTGAATGCATCATGCTTACTGGTACTCTTTTATGTTGACTGTACTCTCCCCCTATCTTGAATTCCCTACCCTCTCCTCTCTGAAGCATTAAATCCTTAAAAAGACCCAGATCCAATTGTTACGCCCTTTAAAATACATTTACTATGCAATATTAAAGGAATACAGAGGATATAATAAATAATACCCTATTTCACACATATAAGATATCACTAATTTTGAGAGGAACTATTTTGTGTCTCACTAAGAAATCCTACCATTGAAACTATAACATGACTGCAAAATACATCTTAATTTCAGGGAAAAAAAAATGTATCTGGGAACTACAGCATAAGGAATACTCTTTGTTTGCACTCAGTCTGAAAAACATAGCTAGTACATTTGAAGTCCCCTATGTGCCCCTTTATCATCTTATACACTCCTTTTTCCTGAATTTGGTGTTTATCATTTGGTTCTTATATATTTAATAGACCCCCTGAAGACTTTGGAGACTAAGCTCTTAGAGTCCTTTATTATTATTATTATTTATTTTTTTATTTTTTGAAATGGAGTCTCAGTCACCCAGGCTGGAGTGCAGTGGCGCAATCTCTGCTCATTGCAACCTCTGCCTTCAGGATTCAAGTGATTCTTCTGCCTCAGCTTCCCAAGTAACTGAGACTACAGGTGCACTGTCACACTCAGCTAATTTTTTATATTTTTGGTAGACATGGGGTTTCACCATATTGGCCAGGGTGGTCTCGAACTCCTGACTTCCTGATCTGCCCACCTCAGCCTCCCAAAGTGCTGGGATTACAGGGGTGAGCCACTGCACTCTGCTGTATAGTCCTTTATTTTAAACAAGTTTTAGATGTACAGTATTTCCAAGTTTTTAATCACTTAATAAAATGACAGGTTTCTTTATTATATTATCTATTTTTGCTGTCTATGGGGAGGTTACAGAGCTCACCTCAAAGTGATCCCTCTGCAACCCATTGGCTTTTGAAGAGGTGATGTACAGGTGGTGCTAGCTGTGTATACACTGATTAGGACTTTCTGGGCAGAGGAGCAGGTGCTTCTGGTGGCCCTCTGGGAAAGGTATTCTAGTTATCAGTTCTCATAGCCAGGCGAACTGTGTAGCTGTAAAAATCAGGTCTGCCATCTAAAAGACTTAATATCGTACTTTGTCCATCAAGAAGGACCAGCTGTAATGAATATATATATATATATATATAAATCATACTTGGGACATCACAGGGTTTCAGTCACAATTACCCCCCGCCCAGACGGAGTCTTGCTCTGTCGCCCAGGCTGGAGTACAGTGACACGATCTTGGCTCACTGCAACCTGCGTCTCCCAGGTTCAAGCAATTCTTCTGCCTCAGCCTCTTAAGTAGCTT